TAAGGTAGTAACTTGTTATCACCCTTGTCTCTGTCTTTGAAATACAACTTTAGACTTCAAATACTAATAATTCCCGAGAACACCATGAAGGCGCCAGGCAATGCAGCGCATTGAATACGGAGAAAGCAGAAGACGCAGAAGAGTGAGAGGGAGACGGCGCAGGAGCTGCTTCGCGGTGGCCGTGTTGGACGGTGACGGCGACTTTCATACCCTGAAAGCAATAGCCTCCGCTAGAGAGGTAGTAGTGTGTCCTTGCCTCTGTCAACTGCACCACATCTCTCCCACCACGCGTCAAGTTTTTCACGAACCCTTCGTCTCTGCAATTCTCGTAGCTCGTCTCGTTCACCTCCAGAACGTTGAAGTATCGTTTGTCAAAGTTGAATACTGCATATACATATATCCATCTTTCTCATTTCAGCTCATGAGTTACTCATCATTAACACTAACACTACACATAATCCAAGTAGAAAATAGTAAAAACAGACCAACAGTACTTTTTCTCTTTGGGATTCTTTTAGTCTAAGAAGTTTTCACCTTTTCCTTTATCTTTTCCTGTCGTTATACATCCTCCGTCTAAACATGTATAGCCAGCGTGTTTTTGGTTATTTTTAGGTATGTATAGCTAGAATAGGAAACTGAAGAGTTCCTGGCCAAGAGGGGGGGGGGAAGGGAAGAAAGAAAGAAAGAGAACAAATGGAAACTAGAGAATGATGAAATATCTAGGGGCGAATGGTATAGTGATTTTCTGGGTTTCAAATTGGAGAGGACCGGTCCAAATGTAATTCGCGAGGCCTTGGAGTTGGAACTGGGAAGCATTTTCTCGCCATTTTAAAGTCAGATTCTCTTTCTTTTTGTTCTGCTGGAAGCCAGAATTGTTCTTTTAACTTTTGCTTTTCCCTCCTTCTCGCGTCACTTTTAGTTGATAATCACTCAACACTCAACATATGTTATGAAACTGAATTTTACTAGGTGACTATTATATAAACTTAATGTATTTCATGTGCATGAAGCAAATCTTAATATCAAACTTAAATGACGTTGATATCTTTTATGCATGCCAGTTAAAACTTGAAACAGATCAATTCCAGGCATGCTCTACACAGGAGATGGATTAACTATATTTATTTCATATGGTCTCAGTAATATTTCTAAATTTAGCAAAAAGGAGAAGGGAATATACTATTTTTTATTTTGGTGCTGTTATTAATGTGTTGATGATATATGCTAGATATTTTGGGCTATGGGAATGGGAATACATTGAGATCTAATGCCATTAAGTACATTGAGAAAGAAGATGCCTAACACCATCATAAACTTCTCTTCAACAAGTAAACTGAAAAACAGACATAGCATGCAGTAGTTACAGCGATCCCCTTGATCCCATTGATCCAAAGTATAGAGATCCAAAATGGTACACTTATTTCATTTGCACTTAGAATTAAAGAATCTAGATCATTTAAGTTATGAGATAAAAAATGTCCATCATCAAGGAAAAAATTAATATACTGATATAAAAAATGAGGTGAGACGCTCAAGCTTCTGAGTTTTTGGATGGCCACCAGGCCAGTACAAGAAGCTCGAAGCGCACATTTGAGTGCCTTTCATAAAACATTTGTGTATACAGTTTAAAGGATTGAAACCATATTCCAATCTAAGACTGTTCGTACAGTGCGGGATCAATGAATTGAATGAAAGAAGGGAGTATCTATATAATAATTGGGGAATGGCGACAGAGAAATTCACATTCAGGATTAATTACTGTGAAATCCATATCGTCAAATAAAGAAAAAAAGAGAAATCGAAAAGGAAGGAAGTTGAACGAGAGCGAGTACTTACGGAGCCAATCGCCAAGAAAGAATTGCTCATGAGCAGACCATTCAGTATAGTTAACGTCGTGATTGATCCAGCCTTTGGATCCACCCACCTTGTGCAGCATCGGATCTCCCATCGCAGCCATTATCGGCACCACCACCACCACCATGCTTATCAGTATCACTCTTAATCCCCAGTAGTTTCCCATCTCACTTTTTTCTCTCTTGCCAAACACACGCCCAAGAGAAAATGAGCCAAACTTACACCTCGAGAACCACGTTCTCCAATCTGGAACTGTGAGGCTGTGCTTAGCAGGGAACGGAAAAGTAACGGCTCACTCAATTTAAGAACAACTCCGCACCCGCCACCATGCAACAAGCGTGTAGGAGCTGGCACCATATACATTACTCTGCTGCTAATAAGGGCCCCACTTGATACCCTCTAAGCGATCTGTCACCGTACACGTGTACTTGAACTACCCAATCCCCTCTCATAATTACTCTTTCTGCTATTCCTCCCCTTGCTTTTTGATCAGCAACTTCAATTTCAGTAACACACCGCTTCACAATATTACTAAAATTACTTTGGATATTAATTCTCAGTGTTTCATAATAAACATTTATCGTTTTTTTATATATTTATCTCTCTCTTTTGGCCAGCTAATTTAGTGCTGTGAGCCTGTGGCTATTTTATATTTGATAATATGAATTAAGTTAGTTTCAAGTAAAATCAAGCCTCAAATGAAAGCTGTTCTAACATGTCTTTTATCCTCATCATCATTCATGAAGCTTCAACTTAAAACTTCGAAGGTAACAACTCCCTTGTCGTCACTTATCAGTATTAACCGTTATTAATAGTTTTAGGATTAAGGTGTAAATTTGGGCGGAAAATTTTCTCTCAGAAATGCTAAGCATCTGAATAAGTTAAGGATGGTGTTGTCACTAAAACAATTTGTTGTTAACAAATATATACCCTAATGTTCAAGTATATGTGAGAGAAGCCACTGAATATAAATTTTTAGTTCGCATGCAACTCACCTTTGAAAGATTTTCTTTATTTATTTGGACCTCACCGGCCCTTAAAAGATTAGACGGATATATGTAGGAATATAATAGTAGCATAATAAATACGTATAATGAGGTGGAAGGTGCGTGTACAAACAAAACTTGATAGAAGAAAAGCAGAAAAACAGAAAAAGGCGAGAAACTCTTACAAAAAAAAAAAAAAAAGCAGTATGCAGCTGCAAAAGATAAATGAATGGGGGCCATGACCATGGGGGAGGGCTAGACAAATAAATTTTTGGTTAACGAAAATTCTAAACATGTAGTTTATTAAATTAAACCTTCTTAAATAGGGAGCACTGTTATCTAACTAAGTGGAATTCATTGAATAATATTAACATATGCATAATTTCTCTATATCTCTTCAAAATCAGAGAGAGGGGAGGTGAGGAAATATTAGAAGTCTTTTTTTTGGTTGTTGCAAATATCTCTGCCATCATCATGTGCTTATTATTCCCAATCTTCCTTTTTTATTAGTGGGACTGCTAGCTGCATGTCAGCAAGTAACTTTTTGTGTTTCACTGCTTTGGCATGCTTTGCAGTTCGGTGATTGGCGAGTCCGCACTCTTGTCTTCCAATCTCTATTTCATACTCGTACCCCAACGGTGACCACGAGTGCGCTTCAAGACTTTAATGCCTTTGTTATTTCTCTCTCTTTTATTTTAATCCTTCGTTTCATCTCGCAGCTTGGTTTTAATGGAATAAATAAGTAAAAAAAACAAATGTGAAGTATAAGCCCAGTTTGAATCCTTTTCGTGCTGGACCGAGTTGGATCAACTTCTCATGTTGGCTGAGCCTTCTTCTTTTAGCTTTTTATATAAAAATTTTATAGTAAATTCTCAGGTTAACTTAACTTTTCTTAATTTTTTTTTTTAAAAAAAACAACTCCGTAAAGGGTTGGATCAAACCTATGAGGGGCTGATTAATTCTAATGGGCGATGGTCCAAACTCCAAACTGATTTTTTTTTTAATGATGAAATAAACATTGGAAAAAAAGGACTACGAGATGAAATAAAGGACTAAAGGAGTAGCAGGCAGATTTGGGAATGGGAGATAAGGGGAGCGACCCCACGTGGTATGAGTGCGATGGCATTGCGTGCAACCTAAGGTTTGCAACGCTTTGTCCGTAGTTGTTTTAGTAACAGTCCCTCCCCCTTACTTAGAAGAATTAGGTTTAGAAGACAAACCAAGATTAAAATTTTGTTAGAAGATGTGTTCACATTTAATGTCTGATAATATCTCGAATAGAATTTCTTACAATAAGAGTATACTCATACTTAGCAGGAAAAAAATATCTCTCACCTCAGACACAATACTACGTGAGCCGCTATTACTCTGGTTAAGTGCTTTATCAACCCAACTTAAAAGGCTTTTAAAATAATAAATTTAATAATAATTATGAACATTTTTTTCACCAGAAAGAAGACCAAGCTAAGGCCACTAACTGGGGTAGGTGATCAAAATGAAGAATTTGCTTCCTAAAAAGAAGTGGGCATCATGGAGGTTGGGAGTAAGTTGAATAGCTTGGCACCTATCCAAGCTTATATTTATATACAAAAATTAAAAAGAGAGGCCCTTCTCTGTGGAAGAATACTGCCAACGCTCAATCATCAGCGCAAACTAGCCTCTTCTACAACTCTTTCAAAATTTCCACCTAACAAGCTTAACTCCCATTACATTTCTCAAGTCGTTTACTTTTCCCTTCAGATCCAGTCTTCACATTTCCTTTGCATTGCTGGTATTTCCATTTCATTGCAATTACATTTTAACCCACATCTTATCATCTACAGAAATTGCAGTTACCGGTAAGGGAGCTCATGTTATACATCTGAAGACCGCCTCGCATATAGACATCCTAATTATTTACTTATTTATTATACTGTTAATTTAATTTTAACATTCAAGACTGTGGCAACAAATTGAATACGACTCATGCATGCGCAAAAAGTCGAAAACAAACTGGAAGATAATCATGGTTTGAATTTCACGCGGTGTAGTTTGAAGCCGGTTCTCGTGGCCTTGCTTCTGATTTTCAGATCCGGACTTAAAACAAAGCAAGTACAACTGAGATTATGTGCATTTGTTTTTCCCTTTTTTTTTTTTTTTGGACCCAAAGAAGAACAAAGATTTGAAGAGAACCTGGACTAACACACTCACATGGCGAAGGTCCTACAAGTCCATGCAAACAACAAATTTTCCCGCAATTCCCGCAATTGAATCCTCCAATAAATTAACCCAATCAATACACCAAATTAAATTAAATCACCAAATTCAACTCTAGAACCAAACACCACCCAAACATGAGCATCGACCTCACCCCACTTTCAGCCTGCAATGCCGGGTAACACCAGCAGAAACAACAAAACTATTTTCTTTTCTTTTCTTCCCCCCCCCCCCCCAAGTCCTTTTCTCTTTCAGAGACGCACTTGGAATCATCATCATCTTCATCATCATGATCACTTCACCAGACACGAAGGAAAGCATCCCAAGCTACTCCAATGGCAAACGCTAAAGGCAACAGAAGAACGTGACCTGATGAAGAGAGAGTGGAAGAAGCAGCTTTCTCAGGAGAAGCCATGGGTGGTGGGGGTGGTTTTTCCACATGAATGTGAACCTTCATTCCTCCATAGCAGAATCCATTTCCACTCACGAAGTAGTAATCGCGAGTGACATTCAGAGGAGCCACGTCTCTTCCAGCTCCTGTGGTATAGTTATGAAGTGGATGATCTGTGTTGCATGTTTCGTAGTTAGTCTTGTTCACCTCCAGGACGCTCTGCTGGTTCCTATCATACACAAAAACTGTAATATAACTGTGTTATCGTCTGATTTCAAACAGAACAAATATGCAGTTTCAGTTATTTGATACGGTAAACGAAGTGAACTAAACAAAATCTGAATTTAAATGAAGTTCAGATCATCCCAAGTCACATTAATAATGAGATATGGGACTTGGTTGTGAAAAGGCTGCTTTGAACAGATCTGACTTCAACAGCACCAACTTGATATGTTCAGGTACCAGAGAACAGCAGTCAATCACAGAACTTAAGTACTGGAAACTAGGACTAACGAGACAAAAGGGAAAGATGAGCGGATATCAGGAAGGAATCATAATTACAGTCGCTAGAAATGCATCAACAGGGAGAAAATGAGAGTATAATGAGCTTGCTCGAAAAGGAAACACTAATAAGCAAGAAAAAGGGCAAAAAGTCCTGGATCTGGGTATCTAGTACATGAAACTGAAAAGTTAGAAAGGAATCTAAACTCTATTTTCCCAATCGGAGTACCTCTAGGCTCTAAATGCCAAGTGAATAATCACAATTCCAATGAAGTCGGATGAGCATACAAGCAGGAACAAGTAAAACTATCTCCGTTCTTCTTTTACGATAATCAATTTGTCTCTCTTTTCTACTTTTTGCCGAATTTTCTAGGAATGCAATCTGGATTTACCATAAGGCTCAAAGACAGATAAAAGCAAAACAGAAGCAGCAAAATTAGCTAATTTGAACCTACTCGACACATAGAAACAAGAAAAAAGCTTATAACCTAAGTCTTTTAGCGCATCCAATGCATGAAAATGTCCAGATCTAAGCTGCACATGCGCACGTATCCGTGACAGGCCGGAAGCTACAGCTCATGTTACACACAAAGAAGGAACCTCTTCCATAAAACCTCAAATTGAAGCTTAAATCAGTAAGAGAAGAAGGAGCTTACAGAGCCAGTCGCCATTGTAGAAGTGCTTGCCCCGAGCCCAAATAGTATAGTTCACATTGGGACTCCAACCCATTTTGCCTCCGACAGTCCACCTCGTCGCCGACGCCTCCGGCAACATCACAAGCACAGCGCACACCACAAGAAACAACCCCAAAGACTTCTTCAGATTCCCCATTGATTCTCCGCTCTTCGCTCTCCAGTGCCTTCCCGATAGAAAGAAGCAGTCTCTAGAATTCCCCGTCTATTATATCTACAAAGTTCTGCTTCTTTTGAGGCTTTTTATGAAGGCGGGGAGTTAGGGGTTAGTTTAATTAACATTTTTATTTTTATTTTTATTTTTATTTTTCTTTATTTTGGCCTTTTTGGCTGTGGGGCAAACACTGTAAAGTTCATTTTGTTGTTTGAAAAATTTAAGGGAGATTGCGTTTTAGATCTACAACTGCCACTGATTGTTTACCCCTTGTTGGCTAGAAACACTCTGAATTAATTGCACTGTGACAAGAGAAGCATCAGATGGATATGGTTCCTCTCTAGCCAAATTCCCCCAAGCCTGCTCTCTAGCCAAATCTCCACCCTTGATGTAATCTAACGGTTGTATGTTCAAAGGGATGTTAACCATTGGATGTTCCGTAACATAAAATCTGGTCCGTATGTGGGATATGGATCCGTACTCTATTCTGTCTCTCTCCAACCTCTTAACTTCTTTTCTTGGGTACAATCTTAACTTCTTCTTCTTTTTTTATTTTTATTTTTTGGTTAAAATATAAGTACCTTCTTATTGAAAACAATCTTATTCCAAACACTACCATATATTAAATATGGATATCTCTCCCAGTAAAAATTCAAATCTTAATTCGTCGTGTTATAAAAAATTAATCATTTTTGCTAGAACCAACTCCTGTCTGTCAATTTCTTCCTTGTTTTCAGGGGAACATGCCCGCCCGGCATTGGGCTCACTACTCACTCCTTCTGTTACGCTTGCGGCTTGGAGCTGGTCGAAAAATAAATAAATAAACAAATAAATTTGCTCCTTTGCCCCTGGCATCTCAATCGTTCAATTACATCAACGGTGAGGAATAGGCTGGGAAGAGGTCTCGAGGAATTTTGGCCGGAGAAGATCCATTTCTCTCACGGAGATTATTCTTTTTTCCTTTTGGGCTAAAAGATTCTCTTCTGCGTTTCTCGGGTGAAGGTGGCAGGTGGGGGGATAAATTTACGGTGTTTGGTCGTGCTATCGTAACTTGTATGTCAAGTCCAAGAGAATTAAGAAGTGTTTGAATATAAATCAAACCATAGTTTTATAAGTGTTTTTATGGTTTGTAAAATAAATACATAAAAGAGTTTGCTTCGTTTTGATTTATAAATATCATTTTTATGAAAATTATTTGTACAGTTTTTTCTGGAAAAATTTATTGTGAAGTTATTATATACTACTTCCGGTCCTAATTATAAGAAGGAAATTAAAAAAAAGTTAAGTTAGTTATTTGTAATAAATAGGTGTTGTTTTTTTTAAGATATCCTTATTGATCAAGTATATTGTTTGAAACTATCATTGTTAGAAGGGCTACGTTGGGAAGAAATACTTAAATACGAGAGACAAAATAGATTATGGTCTTATATCTAGAATCAAAATAAAAGTGAAACAATGTCTTTATATATATATATATATATATGAGGGAGGTTATGTGAATGGGAAATGACATCAAGATCTTTTAAAAAAAAATCAATTTAATCACAATTAAGTCTCAGCAAGTTTTATTGAAAATTGAGTTGTAGATATTAATTCAGATACATTAATTACAAATCAAACATTTAAATATTATAAGTAGCTCCCATCATCAAGACTTTTGTATCTGTAAATGTCTAAATTGAGTAAATTCATATCCATAGCTCAGCCTCGATATATTTTTTTTTTTTAAATCTAACTCTCGTTAAATGTTTTAAAGCTTAAATAAATATCATTCCTCACTACCAATCATCGAGAGCATAAGCCCAGTTCTGTTGAGTAACTGGGGTTACTTGCGCAGAGCATCTCTCTCCTCCCAAAAAACAAAAAAGAAAAAGAAAAGGAGACAAATCCAGCCGCGTCTTAATGGGATTAATTATTATGTTTATCATGGTTGCCGTGCAGGATCATAAAATAATAAAATGAATTTAAATTAAAGACCGAAAAAAGTAAATATGTGAAAAGACAATATTCTTCTAATCATCGCGTCACTCTTTTCCCAGCAAATATACAGTTTTAAATCATCCGAGTATTTGAAGATTTATAAAAATGATTGCCCATAGTATATTGAAAGGAAAAAATAACTAAATACAAAAAGGGAATAAATATTTATTTTATACTTCATTTTTTTAAAAAAAATGATATTACTAGAATGTAGTTGTCTGATTATAGAGGGCAGCGTTGAGTAGGAGCAGAATGAAGGGTGGGATGGGAACTATGACTGTTGGATAACCTAAATACTTATTGGGGTGGGTGCATCATTTTATAAGGCGAGTTGGCGGGACAAGATAACTTATATAATTTGAACTGAGTATAAAACTGTGAGTGAAATCTTGTGGGTCAAGTTTCCAAGTGTGCATATCCCTCCCATGGACAAACACAATCCCTGTGTGATTTCGCTGTACTCCCCACCCACACCCCATGTGCCCATCCCTTTCTCCTTTGCTTGCTTCCTTGCTTTCCTCACTTCTTCACCCAATTACTCCTTTCTTCTCTCTTCCTGCCAGCTGTGTGTTCTACTCCCTGTTTTTTTTTTTTTTAATCACTTACCAATGCAGTACTATTTAGTTGTATATATTAAAAATAGTGGGTATGAGGGCAACTTTGCCCCCATGCTGTGATCGAAAGAATTGGATTCTCTCCATTACCCTTCTCATCCTCTTCCCCTCCACTACCTCTTTTTCTCTTTACAATCATTGGATCAAAACTCCAATGGTCTAGACTTAATATTTTATAACATTTTATAAAAATAAATATCATGATAAAAAATAAATAAATAAATTTAAACTGTTAAAATCTAATCTGAACAGCTCATAACTACAAACTGTTATTATAGAGATTTTTTTTTTAATTTTTTTTATTACAATTGTGAACTGTTCAGACCATATTTTAACAGTTTAAATTTATTTATTTATTTTTAATGACATTATTTTTATAAGATGTTAAATCTGGACCACTGGAATTTTGATCAATAGTTGTAAGGAGAAAAGAAGAGTAGTGGAGGGAAAGAGGATGAGAAAGATAGGGAGAGAATCCAAGTCCGTGATGGAATGGAGATGAGAATATGGATCTCACGTAGCCCCAGCCGCAGCCCATGAAACCCAGGGATCCCTCATCGCCCTTGGAATCCGTGGGCTCTTCGACCTGATTGGTGGTGGGTGTCGTTCCCAGGGAGTTCACTGATTCCAGACTGACTTGACCACATCAAATCAAACGAAAGCTGTGCATATAAATTACTTATTTTTTGAATGTTTAGATTAAGTTTTTAAAGTGATTTTACGAAGAGTTTTGGCCATGCCCATTGAAAGCACTTTCTTTTAAAAAAGTGATTTTGGGTTTGATTGCTCTTCTCCCACCATGAATTCTTGAAACTCTCCACACCAACCCGAATTCAGCATTTCATGATTAAGACCTGCGAGTAACAGTGCCGCGTAATGAGGTGCCTCCCGGTGTTGAATGAAGGAAAGCGGAGCAACAAGTGGACTGGAACTTGACACGTCATGGAAAAAGGGCTGAGTCCATCCAAAATGAAAGCTGACGCGTATATTGTCGCATGCTCCATGTGTCCAACTCTATCCATTCTCCCATGCTTCCATCCATTTCATGTGTGGCTCATATTCGCTCTCAATCCATTCTCTACTCATATATTCCTTCTTTTCATCTCATCCTTCTCACACCCACGCACTGCTCACCTACAAACCGGAAACTCGGAGCCATGGAAGCCTGTTTCCTCGTCTCCAATTCCTTCACCAAAACCCCCGATCAGCCTCTTCACATGCTCAAATCTCCTTCTCTCTCCTTCCCCAAAAGACCATCTCTTCAGTTCCACTCCAGGACAGTCGCTCTTCCATGTTAGTTCTCTCACTCCTTTTTCCAACCTATCTGGATTATCATATCTCATATGTATTTTTCGATTGGTTTGATCTGATCTGTACAACACAGGTTGCCATCTCTCATCCTCCTCGCCCTTCGATGGCGATGGTGATCGGCCATCTCAAAACGCGGATTGGCGATCCTTCCGTGCAAAGCTGGTGGCCGGTGAACAGCTGAGAACGGCGCCGGACGAGCCTTCCTCTTCTTCCGTCCCCGATCCGCGACCGATCAGCCTTGGGAACAAATGGGCCCACATCATCCACGAGCCTGAAAAGGGCTGCCTGCTCATCGCCACTGAGAAGCTGAATGGGGTCCACATATTTGAGCGGACGGTGGTCCTGCTTCTCTCCACCGGGCCCATAGGCCCCTCAGGGATCATACTGAATAGACCGTCCTTAATGTCGATCAAGGAGACGAGATCGACGGCGATGGACGAGGAGGGCACGTTTTCAAACAGGCCCTTGTTTTTGGTGGGCCGCTGGAAGCGGGCCTATTTTTGTTGGGCCCAAAAGAGGAAGGCCTGGAGAAGAGTGCGAGTGGGGTGTTGGAGGAGGTGATGAAGGGCCTGTACTATGGGACGAGGGAGAGTGTGGGTTGTGCGGCTGAGATGGTAAAGAGGAATGTGGTTGGGGTTGGAGATTTGAGGTTCTTCGATGGGTATTGTGGGTGGGAGAAGGAACAGTTAAGGGATGAGATTAGGGCTGGCTATTGGACTGTGGCTGCTTGCAGCCCAAGTGTGGTTGGGCTGGAAAGTGTCGGAAGTATTGGGTTCTGGGAGGAGGTTCTTGGGCTTATGGGCCGAAGGAAGGTTTGGTGAGACATGTGGCCTAAGCTGGATGGATTGACTGACCTTATAATGCAACTTCTTTGGAACGCTCTGACAACATGAAGGATTATTCACTGGCAAAAAAAAAATAAAATTTCTAGGTTGGATAATCCAAGGCCTTGTGTCACTCAGTCTCGTACTTACTCGTCCATAGAAGTTGTAAATTGTGATTGTTTTTTAAATTGCTTTAAAACTGTGTAAAGCGTTTTGAGGTTTACCTTTATTATGTTCTCTAAATGATGGGGTTCATCCAGCTTGCTTCAGCAAAGTTGACTGACTAAAATTTCACCCAACATAAAAAAAAAAAACAGAGAGAGAGAGA